CCCCAGTACCAGCTCCAGTACCAGTCCCAGCCCCAGTACCAGCTCCAGTACCAGCTCCAGTACCAGCTCCAGTACCAGCCCATCAGGACATGTCGTCCTGGGCTGCTGCCCATACATGTGGCCCACATCAGGATCCACTCCTGCTGAGTGTCAGTGGGAGGTCCTGGAGGTGAGCTCCGTGTTTGTCTTGGCAAACAACCAGGGAGAAACAAGGAAGTGAAACACACTGACACACACAGGAGCAGCAGAATCTGTGTGTGTGTGTGCTCCAGTAGGGGGAGGAACACCTGAGGTCTGACAGAGAGAAGGACTCAGACTGTTGGGACAGAGGTTTGACCAACAACTGGGAGCCCAATTACAGGGTGTGTGTGTGTGCTCCAGTAGGGGGAGGAACACCTGAGGTCTGACAGAGAGAAGGACTCAGACTGTTGGGACAGAGGTTTGACCAACAACTGGGAGCCCAATTACAGGGTGTGTGTGTGGGGGGGGGGGGACTGGGGGGGTCTCTGGGTCTTGGGTTTGTTTTGGTATTAAATACAACGGCCTTCAAGAAGTTCTAAAAGAGTACGTTCAAGTGTGTGTGTGTGTGAGTGCTCCAGTAGGGGGAGGAACACCTGAGGTCTGACAGAGAGAAGGACTCAGACTGTTGGGACAGAGGTTTGACCAACAACTGGGAGCCCAATTACAGGGTGTGTGTATTTCGTAATAAATACAACGGCCTTCAAGAAGTTCTAAAAGAGTACGTTCAAGTGTGTGTGTGTGTGTGTGTGTGTGTGTGAAGCCTGGACTCTGCTGTTTATAATAGAAATCAGAGTCACACAGTAACGGCTCTTCAACCAAAGCTGTTTCCTCCCTGATAAGGAGTAACACCTCCTTGGGTTTGCCCCCCCACCCCCTCTCCCCCCTCCTCATTAAAAGAAAAAAAACCAGACTAACATATTACAATGGGATGAAAGACGAACGAAGTTAAATGTCTCCATCTAGTGATCATAAATTAGAAATAAAATCCAAGTTTAGATCGCGCTTCACTATTGGCTGTTGCGTGAGCTCCCGTTTACTATAGGTCTTTTTGTTTGATGACAGCTGGACTCTGCCCCCGTGTGGCCCTAATGATAATAACAGTTGTTCCTGAATCTTTGGATTTAAGGTTCGCTGAACACCGGGAATCAATCACGTGACGTTCCTCAGACCTCCTACACTGAGGAGTGTTGTAACACGACGTCATCGCTTCACAGTCGTCTCCCAGGAACAAACCAATGTCTTGGAAGAACCACATCTGTTAGTCACAAATGCACTTTATTCCATAATTTAGAAACGGACTTGGGAAGGCACTGGGGCGGGTCAGAACACAGCCCAGACACAGACGGTCCAGTAAGGTCACACTTAGGTCGTCCTCTTCTTTCAACATGTCCGCTGAGCCGACGACTCCTGTCGTTGCCGTGGTCTGTCGGCCATGTGGGCGGCGCTCTCTCCAGATAAGGACAGCGTCGACCCTGAGTCGGCCGTCCTCTATCAGCGTGTGCTAAAGTGCAGTCTGTACAGTTCCAATGATCGGACGATCTGTGAGGAAATCAGCGTCTCAGCAGTCGAACGTCAGCGTGGACCGACCGTGAGGACAAGGTCACTGGGTCGTGTCCCTGAAAGGTTGAGACCATGAAAGGCCTGAGTCAGAGCTGAGGAGGTGAATTAAAAGACGGGAAGTTCAAGTGCAGCTCCAGAGTCAAGTTCATCCTCACATGATTAGTATTATTATTATTAATATTATTAATATCAATATATTATTATTATTAATATTATTATTATTAAATCTTCTCTTGTTCACAGTCTCGTTTGTTGCGAGCTGCTCATCTTCTCATCGTGTGTGAGTCACAGACAGTGGGAGTCACAGACAGTACAGACTAGAGTTCAGGTGATAATCTCCAAACAGTACCAAACAGTACCAAACAGTACCAAACAGTACCAGTACCAGAGCAGGGATTAGAACCTGATGAGGGGAACACGACACAATAAGAAGGCTGATAAATAAGATCCTGCTGTAATGGACGCTGGACTGAAGCTGGTCTGAAGCTGGACTGAGGCTGGACGGACGCTGGACTGAAGCTGGACTGGAGCTGGACTGAAGCTGGACTGAGACAGGGGACTGAAGCTGGACGGAGGCTGGACTGAGGCTGGACTGACACTGGACTGAAGCTGGACTGAAGGTGGACTGAGACTGGACTGACGCTGGACTGGAGCTGGACTGAAGCTGGACCGAAGCTGGACTGAGGCTGGACGGACACTGGACTGAAGCTGGACTGAAGCTGGACCGAAGCTGGACTGAGGCTGGACGGACGCTGGACTGAAGCTGGACTGACGCTGGACTGAAGCTGGACTGGAGCTGGACTGAAGCTGGACTGAGGCTGGACGGACGCTGGACTGAAGCTGGACTGGAGCTGGACTGAAGCTGGACTGGAGCTGGACTGAAGCTGGACTGGAGCTGGACTGAAGCTGGACTGGAGCTGGACTGAAGCTGGACCGAAGCTGGACTGAGGCTGGACGGACGCTGGACTGAAGCTGGACTGGAGCTGGACTGAAGCTGGACTGGAGCTGGACTGAAGCTGGACTGAAGGTGGACTGAGACTGGACTGAAGCTGGACTGAAGGTGGACTGAGACTGGACTGACACTGGACTGAGGCTGGCCTGACACTGGACTGAAGCTGGACTGAGGCTGGACTGTCACTGGACTGAAGCTGGACTGACACTGGACACACTGACACACAGGAGAACTCTGCACAGAAAGAGCAGCGGTGACTAGAACCAATGATCTCGCTGCAACACCTCCCCCTTGTGGCCAACGGGCAGCTGTCATTAGCTGTGATCGAAGAATTTTCAGAGCAAATCTTTCATTTCATCATAAAGTGACATTTTGCATCAGACTGTGACCTTCACCTGTGACCAGAACCTTCATCACAGCAGGGCAGGAGGTCAGAGGTCAGAGGAGGTCCAGTCACAGCCTTCAGAGGAGGTCAGAGGACAGCACTCACCCACAGGTCAGTGCGATGCTACGAGGTCGTACACAGTCAATTCAAACATTACTAGAATTAATATGAATATTATTAAATAAAGTCTGATCTAAAACAGTTGTGGTTAAAATGTAAACAGTCCTTCCTTCGTGGTAGAACCATCAGCCCGGTCCTGACCCCAGGGCCTGGTGCTGGTTCTTCAGTGTTGGACCACAGAGTGCTCCTCACACTTCACCACAGCTGGAGCTACAGTTACAACACTGGGCCCGACCTCCGGATCAGCCGGGTCGCTGCAGGACCTGCTGGGTGTACGTGGAGAAGGCGTCCCAGTTCCTCCACAGGACGGCCACTAGGAGGAGGAGGAGCAGGGTGGAGATGGAGCGGCAGCGCGTCTTCATCAGGGGGACCACACAGTTGGCCACGGTGGAGACAAAGACCAGGAGGACGGCCATCAGGGCCAGCAGCACGTTGATCAGTTTCCCCAGGAGGGTTCTGGCCGTGGCGTTTTCCAGCCCCTCCAGTTGGACCACCTGCTGCTGCTGCTGCTGGAGCTCCATCTTAGAGATTCTGGTCTGACAGGCCTCCAGCGCCTCCTGGAGGGGACAGACAGAAAGATATGGTCAAAGTTCTGAAAGAGCGGTCTTTCAGCACCGGTTCCCAAATTAGTCGTACGGAGCCCAAGACAAAAACGGGGCCAAACCAGAGGTCAAAGCTGGACACTGACCTGCACTGACCACGAGTCTGACTGTAGATATTTTTCATTTGTTCAGTTCAGTTCACTGAGACTTTAGTATTTATTTACAGAAGTGTTTTTCTGTCTCACTGAGAAGTAAAGGTTCCTCAGTATCAGTCAGTAATTACGTGATAATAACATTGTTCAGAAGCTGATACGTTTGTTAGAGAACGGTCCAGTTCTGTCCAGTTCTGTCCAGTTCTGTCCAGTAAGGCAGACCGGTTCGTCACTTCCTGTGCAGCGGCTGGTGTGAAGGACCAACCTGAATGTCTCTGGCTCTCTCACACGACTGGTAGGCGATCTTCTCCTCCATGCTGGCCAGCTCCTGCTGCAGGTTGACTATCTCGTTCTGGTGGAGTTCCGTGAGGTCGTTCAGCTGCTCCTCCAGACGTTCACACCTGAGCACAGAGACCAAGAGGGAGGTCAAGAGGGAGGTCAAGAGGGAGGTCAAGAGGGAGGTCAGAGACTCAAACAGACACACCTGTAGACCTGTAAAGACTGCTCTGCTGAGACTACCACACTGTATCTGTATCCATGACAACAGTGCCATCTAGTGGACAACAATAACTATGACATCATCAGTTGTATTCATGTCTGTACTTTACCACAGCCAGTGGTTATCAAACTGTGGTGTGCGTACCACCGGTGGCACTTGGACACTTCCTGTGTTCAGTGGGGGAATGCTGCCCCTACTGGAGAAACTTCAGCTACAGCTGGTTTAGACATAAAGACATTATATATGTGTAGAGACGTGAATTTAACTGTGAAACTGTCTATATTATATATGTGTAGAGACATGAATTTAACTGTGAAACTGTCTTTAAAACAACAGTGGACTGAACTGTTCTGTCAAATATAATGACACACACACACACACACACACACACCATCTCCCTGTAATATGGGGGGTTCATAAAGTCTAGACCAGGTCAAGGTTTAGTTCTTATCCACTGTGAGCTGAGCTGAGATAAAGAGGTGTGTGTGTGTGTGTGTGTGTGTGTGTGTGTGCTGTACCTGTAGCGTTCCTCCTGCAGCGACTCCATCATCAGACTGTAGTCTCTCTGATAGTGACTCTTCAGACCATCCAGGATCTCCTCCAGCCGTGCCTGGCCCTCCCTCAGGTCCTGCACCTCCTGCAGCAGCAGGTCCAGGCTGGAGCTCTGCGTCCTGTCCAGCGTGTTGCCCTTTGAACTAGGGGGCCCCCCAGGGGCCCCCGTAGTGCTGTTTGCCCCCACGGACCCTGAGGTAGCGCTGGAGCAGTCATCCTCGCTGCCGTACCTGGGACTGGACTGTAGGTGGTGCCCAGGAGCTGTCAGCAAACGCCCCCCGGCCACGGCCGCGGTCACGGCCCCGGACCCCTCCTCCATCGAGGAGTCGTCCAGAGAGTCCTTCAGGGCGGGGATGTTGTCAGCGCTGCTGAATTTGTTGCGAATCAGTGAGGCGATTTCTCGAGGTTTGGAAACCACGGCTCCTGCAGCAGAGTGAGTGGCCTGAGAGAAGCTGGACAGCCCCCCCTTCACACTGTCCACCACACCTTCACTGAAGCCCGTCACTCTGGCCCCCACGTCCTTCAGTCCCTGCTGCATGTCCCTCAGGACATCTTTGGGCTGGCGTGGGATGCCGTTGTGCTCCACCTCCCTCAGTTTGCGGTGGTAGTGTTCCAGTTTCCTCTGCAGCTGCTGGATGGTCTGAGCCGACTTCTGGTTCTTCTTCTCAAACACCTGACACCAGAGGTTCTTCGTTAGACACAGAATAACCTCCAGAGAAGCACAGCTTTGTTGTTGGTGTGATACATGTCACCACCACTAGGCTGCAGTGTGAGAGAACATCCATACACTGAAGTACTGTGATGTTTCACTTCCTGATTCTGGATCAACATCTCAAACACCAACTTTCCTACAATTGTTCTGTTGTTCCCAAAATAGAAGAAATATCACAGCGCAAGAAGTACCGTCAAAATCAGACAACAGTTCTCAGCCTGTACGTCCTGACTGACTGACTGTCGTCACTTCCTGCCTGATATTGTCGTCTCGTTACGGTACAACAACCGTGACAATTTTTGGTTAAATATTTTGGAGACGTTGAACAACTGAAGTTGGACCGTATATCGTGACGTTGCCGCCGTATCGTGACTGATATCAGTGAATATTTACCTGCTTGATGCGTGAACTTTGCTGCTTGTCAGCGTTGTTGGCCAGTTCCAGGTACTCTGCCACGTTGTCGTCCCTGGCCGTCTGCTCAATCTTGATCTGCTCTGTGAGCTTCAGGATCTTCTGCTGCAGCTGAGCGATGGCCTGTTTGGTGCGCTGAGGGTCCGGGGCTCCATCCTCTGACCCCGGGAGGGAACCATCAGTCCCACAGGACACAGACGCAGGCGTGTGGACCAGTCCACTCCCCTCCAGGCGGTCAATCTGAGGGACAGATGAGGGACAAGTGAGCCAGAGGTCAGAAGTGACAGAAGAGAGAGAGAGAGAGAGAGAGAGAGAGAGGGAGAGAGGGAGGGAGAGAGAGAGAGAGGGAGGGAGAGTTCTGTAGATAAGGAAGAAGAAAAGTCTGGTTGGCAGTAACTCAGATGTCAGTTTGCTGACACACTGAAAATGAAGTTCTTCATTTGAAATAGGGCAAAATGTGAAAAAGGACAAGGTCACGTGAGGTCAACTTTGAAAACAAGAAGATGAAACTCACTTAGTGACTTACACATAAGAGAAACTGGAAGGAAAGAAAAAACAAGAAATGTTATTTTAAAGCAACAACGTCAGTGGCACCAGGTGTACCAGCTGTACCATGTTCTAATAACAGACGGTGCTTCCACAGACAGAAGGTTCCCTCTGTCAATCAGCTCTGACACTAAAATAATGATAATAATGATAATAATGTTGATGAAGCAGCAGAACAACAGATCAGTCAGAGATCAGAGGATCAGAGATCATGGATCAGTGGCTCAGAGATCAGAGATCAGTGGATCAGAGATCAGAGGATCAGAGATCAGAGGATCAGAGGATCAACCTCCAGGACTTCACTCACATCAAGTGAATCTCTCTTCAGTTTCTGAAAGAGTTTAAACCGATTCTGGAAACAAACCTCCTGTGGTCATGTAGCAGTGTGGACTGACCGCCTAATTCAGTACCGACACCTTAATGAGACCAGTGGAGGACCACGAACAACACGGACGGACGGACGGCGGGTTCAAAACACACAAACAGCGTGAACGTGAGTACCGACGGTTCAAAACACGAACCGCACGAACCACAGACGGCAGCGGTGACTCTCCGAGTCCAACCTCGGGTCACCGACCACAACGATAACAACTCTATTTAAACCGTCTTTGGTCAGTCGTCAGACCGTGACGTCAGAGGCAGCGCTCACCTTAGCACTGGTCAAGCGGAGAAGTTGTTCCCAGTGCATGTTATCTGTGCTTGATTGAATCAGTTCAGCCTGACGGTCAGAGCCGGTGTCCACGCTCACCCCGTCCGCTCTCCCCCCCCGCTGCTGCCGCTCTCTCCCCCCGCTGCTGCCGCTCTCTCCCCCCGCAACTGCCGCGCTCGCCTACACACACGGTTGGTTTTCAAGTTAAAACCACCAACAATCTCTCCTTTATCTGCTCTTCTATTTCCACCACCTCCCTCCCCTCCACCTTCAATCTCTCCTGGTTTCCCCCGAGCCCTCCCCCCCCCCCCCCCCCCCGCTCCTGCCGCTCTCCCCCCCCGCTGCTGCCGCTCTCGCTTACACACACGTTTGTTTTCAAAGTTAAAACCACCTGAAACTCCGGGGCAAACCTCGCCCCCTTTGTTCTGACCCCGCCCCCTCACCATATGAGGGATGACATCATTGACAAACAGCTGACAATCTCCGACAAGGAAGAATCCTGGGGATCCAGGGACTTTTCTTTACAGAGT